GGGCTAAGGGGTGGGGATGAGGCTGCCCCACCTGGAGCTGCTTCTGTTGGATTTCCGCCTCTTCTTTCCTCTGCTCGGTGGGAGAGGAGGCAGCAATTGTTTCCCTTCCCCTTTGGTCTTTCCAGGGCCCTCCGGGTTACTCTGACGTTCGGTCTCCTCCTTTCCCTCCACTCCCTTTTTCTGTTGGATTTCTGCCTGTTCAGGAGCTACATCTTCTCTCAAATGTCTCTTTCTCAAGGGCTGGCCCAAGGCTTAGCCTTGGTCAAGCCCAACCCACCTGCAGTTCCTGGGTCAGGAAAACAGCAGCAGCTGCTTTTTGTATCCCACCCCTTGCTGCCCCCTTCCTGAGCCCCACTTTTTCTTTTCTTTTTAAAGAAAAAGAATCACAACCCTAACATAAAATGTATTAACATAACTTAATACATAAAATGTATTAACATAACTTAAAGAACAACACTAACGTAAAATGTATACTTACAGTACTACGAAAAATTTTCCTCCTGTGGGCAATATTGGGCAATATTTGAATATTATATCAATAATTTCTCTAATTTCATTTTTTTAAGGAGCCAGAGGAAGAAGGAGCAGCCGCTGCCACCACCGCTGCCACACCACCGCCACCACCAGCACCAAGGGGCGGCCCCTGGAGCCACAGCATGGCAGAGCAGAAGCGGCTGGCCTTCTCCATCGTCCAGTTCCTCCAGGACCAGCTGCAGAATGGGGGCCTCTCCCTGGACGCCCAGGAGAGCCTGGAAGGTGTGCACCCCACTCCACTGGGTGACGGGTGGTGGGGCTGCTGGCGTGTGTGTGTGTGTGTGTTTGAGGCTGTGGTGGAGATAGCTTGGCTTCCGCCCTCTTGCCCACTGCCTGACAATCAGTTTTAGACCTTTTTAGTTAAAAGGACTTCAAGGGTATCCGTTAGGGTCACTTTCCCCCCTTTTCTCAAAATTTAAGCCGTTTTAAAAACTTGTCACCAAAAAAATTGTCACCAAAAAAGCCACGAAGCAGCTCCAGACATGGAGATGGTTTGTGGGTTCAGAGCATCTTCTCTGAATTAAAAAACACAGTGGAAGAGAGGCGAAAACAGGCGGTTCGGATCAAGGAACTGAAAGGAACTTTAATATTTCTGCCGTTGGGTTTGAGAGCTGGGTGTGGGTGTGTGTTTTGTGGGGGCGAGGCCCCTGGCCACTCTTCCTGCGAGCGGATAAGGCCCAGCGGCCGAGGCGGTTGGGGGCCCTTCGGGGAAGAAAGGGCTCTGACCCCTCGCTGCTTCTCTCGTAGTTGCCATCCAGTGCCTTGAGACAGCCTTTGGGGTCTCCCTGGAGGACCAGAGCCTGGCCATCTCCCAGACGCTGCCGGAAATTTTCGAAGCCGCTGCTGCCAAGGTGGGTGCTTGCTTGCGGGGTGGGATGCCTGAGAAGTTCCTCCTTCCCTGCCTTCCTCCATCCAGGGGCCCTGAGCAGGATCTGCAGTGGGGAGGGGATACCTTGCCCCGAAGTCCCCGGTTTGCCTGGGCCCAGATGTGGTTAAGCAGGACATGAAACTTCCGGGTGGGGAAGACCAAAAGGGGATGGTGAGGAGCTCCAGAAGGATCTCTCCAAACTGGGAGAATGGGCGGCAAAATGGCAAATGGGTTTCGGTATAAGAAAATGTAAACAAATGCACATTGGCTCAAAAAATCAAAAGTTTATTTATTAGCTCATGGGTTCTGATGTAACGCATCGGGAAAGAGATCTTGGTGTGCTGGTGGACAGCTTGATGAAAGGGTCAACCCAGTATGCGGCGGCTGTGAAGAATGTTAGTTCTCATTAAAAAGGGGATTGAAAATAAAATAGTCAACCTTATAATGCCATTGTACAAAACACGGGTAAGGCTGCACCTGGAGTATTGCGTACAGTTTTGGTCGCCGCACCTCAAAAAAGACAGAGTGGAACTGGAAAAGGTGCAGAAGAGAGCGACTCAAATGAGGACTGGGTTTGGGGTACCTCCCTGATGAGGAAAGGTTAGAGTTTTTGGGACTCTTTTAGTCTGGAGAAAAGGTGCCTGAGGGGAGACATACACAGGGGCTGGATCAAGTGGCTGGAGGGAAGCTCTTTTCCCGCTCATGCAAGACCAGAACCAGGGGACCTCCACTCCAATGGAGTGTTGGGAGAAAGAGAACAGATGGAAGAAAACATTTCTTGACCCAGCATGTTGTTAGTGTGTGGAACTCCTTGCCAAAGGATGTGGTGATAGCCTCTGGCCTCGATGCCTTGAAAATGGGATGGGACAGATTCCTGGAGGAAAACTCCATTGCAGGTGACGAGCCATGACTGGGAGGTGTCCTCTCTGGATGTCAAAGGAAGGGAAGAGCGCGTGCAAAGGCCAGAGGCAGGGGAAGAGGGATATCAGGAGATGGGGATTTCGTGTCTCGTGTGGTCCCAGATGCATCTGGTGGGGCCACCATGAGAGGTACAGGAAGCTGGACTAAATGGGGCCTTTGTTCTGATCCAGAAGAGCCCTTCTGAGGTTCTTAAGTGGTGTGTTTTTTGTTTTGTTTTGTTTGGTCAGATGGTGGGGAAATAACTCTTCGGCAACATGCTCTCCTAGGGAAAGCACTGGTGCTGGAGGCACTTGGGATAAGGGAAAGAGTTAGAGACCTTTCTTGGGGGGGGGGAAACGGACCCCCAGCCAGCATCCATCTTTGAGGCCTTAAAGCTCAGTTCCTTGTGGTTCCTCCCTGCGGTCCCGGGAACGGCAGCCGACAGAGGGACCTTTCCTGGAATACACAGGGAAGCTCTGATCGCGCCGCCTGGTGCCAAACATTGGCTTTCTCCCTCCCTCCCTCCTCCTTAATGGCTTGCCGCGGTGTCTTCTCCTGCCAGGAGCCTCAGCCCACGGTGCCCACCCCTGACCCAGCCACCCCCTCCGAGGAGGACACCGCAGAAGCAGAAAGGCTGAAGGCCGAAGGTAGTAGGGGTTCTGGGGTTCTGGCGGCTGGGTGGGGGCTGCTGCGGATCAGGAGGGGAGGCTAGGGGAGGGGGTCTCCCGTCAAGCAGGCCTCCAGGAAGAGCAGCTCATGGTGGGAGGGCCTCGGGGAGGAGGAGGAGGAGCACCCAACAACTTGTCCCCAGCAGTCGAAAAATCCCCTTTCTGGCCATGAAAGAGGCTGGAACTGGTTCTTCTCCAACAGGAAATGAACAGATGAAAGCAGAGAACTATGACAGTGCCGTCTCGTACTATGGGAAAGCCATTGAACTCAACCCGTCCAATGCAGTCTACTATTGCAACAGGTCAGGCTCTGCAGGGCTTCCTTCCGCCCAGACACCCAGGGCCGCTGTCGCTGGGGCTCTCTGCCCATCCTCCAAACCCTGGAGAGGGGAGGAGAAAGCGTTTCCCACATCCTTCCTGGCCTGAGCCGAAATAAGCCGGTGCCTCGTTTTCCTGTCCCGTAAAATCCTGCCTCCATGAGTTTCAGGAGCAAAATGTCCCATGGCTTCTCTAGGGGCTTGATCTTGGGAATGTTGAGGAGCGGTTGTGGGGCTCAGCTTCCTTGGCCCGCTTTGTCTTCCTCCAGGGCCGCCGCCTACAGCAAGCTTGGTAACTACGCTGGGGCCGTCCGGGACTGTGAAAGAGCCATCGGCATCGACCCCAAATACAGCAAAGCCTACGGGAGGATGGGGTGAGTGGCCCAGCCCAGAGATTTGGCCCTTGGGTGGTCGGTTCCCACCTGGATGATGCCCTCATCCACCTCCTGATCCCCCTGCTGGGGGTTTGGTCCTCCATACGCTTCCGAGGGTCAGTCTGGGACCTCCCCCCCATCCTGTCCTTTGCCCAGTTGCTTCTACCAGATGGAGGGAGATTGTTTTCGAGGGACTCTCTCAGGAGAAGACCCCTGCCAACCCTAGATGGAGGCAGCCTCTCTTCCCCGGCCAGCCCTCCACTCACCCTCCCGCCTGGTCTCTTTGGCCTCTCTGCAGCTTAGCCCTCTCCAGCCTGAACAAGCTCTCAGAGGCCGTGGTCTACTACCGGAAAGCTCTGGACCTCGACCCGGACAACGAGACGTACAAGTCAAACCTGAAAGTCACCGAGCAGAAAATGAAGGAGGCTCCAAGCCCGGTGGGTTCGGGAATGGGGCTGGGAGCGGGGAACGGAAAGTGGCTGGAAGGCAGTGCTGGAACTTGGGGGGTGGGACATGAGGCTGACGGGCTCCATGGTGGCAGGGGTGGCAGCATGGAAGTGGAAGAGCAAGGACATGGAGGGGGGGAGAGAGGAGGGGCAGAGAGGAGGGCAGAGGGCTAAGAGGCCGGCAGGCGGGCGGGCATATGAACCCCACAACCTTCCTTTGGCCCCCACGATTCTTCTCGTAGCCAGCAAGGGAGGGGGGAAATGTCCCTGTGGATCAGTTGAGCATGAGGCTCCTTTTCACACTTCTCTTCTCTTACCCAGACGGGAAGCCCAGGGGGCTTTGACCTGGCTAGCCTCCTC